GGGGGGGCGGGGGAGAGGAGGTGGGTTTAAACAGAAATTGGTTTTCCTTCAAAGTAGTAATTTTTTTCTGTGTTTATAACTGATGAGTATAGTGGTCAGATGGGATCTTTTTTGCAAGGTCCAAAATTTTTTTAAGAGTGCATGACCTTGAAACCTAAATTGCAAAAAAGAAAATAAATACTGCATTTGTACCTGGCTACTTTCCAATCATGGGAAGAATGCTATCAATTTCACTGCAATCTATAATATCTAACAGATTAGCAGGAACTGTATTTTGAGATTAATTTTGGAATTCAAATTTTCACAGGAATAATCGTGTTGCGGAGTGAGGAATGCATCTGACTTTCCCCTGACACCTCAGATTTAGGAGAGGGGGACTTGAATTGTTGAGATGCAGCTTTGTCATCAAAACAATGCACTCATGTTGAAACATTTCCATTTCACAACTGATTATTTCAGTTGCACTAACTCAAATCTTGGTATTCTTTAACCTTCAGAGAAAATGTACCATCTTTCATCAGTAACTCTTAAAACAGATTTTAACCGTTTCATATTTTTCAGTTTTGCAAGTGAAGATGCAATGTTTTACCCTAATTTAAAACACGCGAGGAAAAGTTCTGATACCTATTTTCTTAAAGTTTCTATTACCTGCCCTTTATTGCCTACAGGTGCAGAAGACAGGTGCACACTTAGTGTCATCATAGGATAGTGTTTCTATAATCTGTCTCCAGCAATCACAAAAACCACACAGGTGTTCTTATTTGTGTTTTTAGCCAATTCAAGCCACATCCACTTACCAATATTTCCCATTACAATTTCTCTCTCACTTAAAAGTTACATTCTCTGATCCTTAGCCAAAGCAACAGTGTATGTGCATGATGCATCAAGCAATAAATAGTTGCTTCCATATCAGGACTGTTTTGCTACATACCTTTACTTGATCTGGATGTCTACCTGCAAATGAAGCCAGTTCTGAGCACCACTGTGATATCATGTCGAATGCTGGCACTGGCCAGTCAAGACAAGAGGCACTGGTGAACTGATGAGCTGACTGAAAAGATGGTAATAGACCCAGGCAGCTTGCAAGAACAGCGAATTCTTCATCTTCCTTTTTGGGCATGAAATCAGAAAGGTTTAGATTAATACCTAGACTCTTAATTTTTAAATAGTCTATTAAAAATATATCTATTTCAATTAAAAAGTATTCTAGTATTAGGATGCAAATAGTCATGCTTAGTGACACAGGAAGGTTCAGTTTCAGCAGATAACTTCAAACTGGACTCTTGAAACAAAAAAATTATCATTAAAAAACCCCCAAACCAACCAACCAAATTTAAAACCTCAACCCAAACCAAATCTCAACCCAAACCGAACCCCACAAACAAAACACAACTCCCCCATAAAAAACACAAATCCAAAAAACAAAAACAAAACAAGAAAGTCCCAAACTCCACAATATTTTTTTTTCTGTTTAGCACCCCAAACTAGCTAACAGCTGTTTTACAAAGGAGATAATGTTGAGGCAAGGAAAAGAGGGAGCTGACCTGCAGTAAACTCTACTTAAATTAGTCATGGAACTCAAAACATAATTGTCTGCTGATGCAATGTCTCTGAGAATGAAGTATTAAGAGGCATTAAGAAAATCAGTACTGAATTCCATTGTGTGTGGAATTACACCATCTCTGCAAATGCTGGACAAGTTTTAAAAGTATGTTGGTATTTTACAAGACAATCACCTACGACCTAATTAAATAAGCATGACTTTGCTGAAGTTTAAGAATATAATACAATTTTTTTGAAAACTGCAGTGCTATAATATATGATTAAAAAAAAAAATCTTAGGACAGAAAATATATACCATGAAAAACACACCTTCAAGTTCTAGTTTTTGATCTCTAGCTTTTATATGGAAATGTTTGAGTGTGCCCCTCTCATTCTGTACCTGACAACTAGGCAAATCCCCTCCAAAGAGATGGTGTTGAAGAAGGCTTGTGATCCTGAGGAAAGGCAGGCAGAACTGCTGCAGATAGCACTCTACAGAATCCGGATTTACCTAGACAGAAGGAAGCGATTACTAAATTCTGTCCCAGGTAAATTATCCCCTAAATACGGAAAGTCCAATATGAACCAAGTATTTTTTAAAGCATATTATATAAATGACTGCATCAAACACACATTCCAAAAGCCAGCATTTCACTAATAATCTGAAATACCTCTGTAGGTTTTCTTCCCCCTCGACAAACGGGATTTCAACTTAAATATTCGCTTTTTCAAGTTTCTGAAAGGTCTTTTGTACTTATGATTAAAACCCATATATATGTTTAAAACCTGCAATTATAAGAAGTATTTGTCAATAACTTTCTCAATGTGACACTGACCACATCTGATATTATTAAAAGAGGCAGAGGCATTTGCAGAGGCAAACTGTCCCAAAGGGATATGCTTTGATCTAGAAAATAAAGAGCTGTACTGCAAGTCTTTAGCAAGATCAGAGAAAAATCATTATAACAATGAGGCAAAAAAATTTCAAGTGGACATGCTGGATAAATTTTCCAGAAATTTGCCAGTACCACTGGTAATTCTTCAGTCTCTTCTTCTTCATATATCTTCCCCTTAGACAGTTCACTAATCACATGACCCAGCAATACCTCCCAAGATTTTTCTCCACTGGATGTATTCTGCAAATGAGAAGAAAAGAAATCCAAAAAGAACTGGTTATAAAAAGGAGGAAATGTTTCTGTAATAACAACAGCAATGAAGAATATTTCCTTTTGATCAACATGTGAGTTTTGACCTACAAAGATACATAGTGTTAAAAAAATTTAAAAACAAATATATAATTTTACAGCATTTAGCTCAAGAGTGAAATGTGAATTGCTATTTGAATTACGTATGCTCTAAACTGAGTGCTTTATGAAAGCCTCTGTATAATGTTTGCATTTCACACTTTCTCTGTGAGTATATAAATGTTTCCTTTAAAACTAGAACGAATCACTCCACAGATACATCTTGTTCCAACAGAACATTAATTCTAATACAAGATTTTTTTAAAAAGTAGTTTTCGAGAACATATCAACCAGAATGAATTACAAACACTTGCTATGCATTTTAAGTTAAAATGAATCTATCAGAAAGTACAAAGTTGCATTTGGAATGAATAACATCTACTACAGACGGAAAATATATTTAGTGTAAAGAATAAATAGCCACTTAGCTTTGTGCCATAGCAATTACATTTAAAGGCAACACAGAAAGCTTTAAGAAATAGAAGAAAGTATTCTCATAAGTATTTTTCCAAGTCAGAATAAATTCTACCCTGGAAAAAGATGACTGGATATGAATTTTGAGTTCTGTTAGTATATTATCAACACAACAAACAAGGGAGTGGAACATTACTGTGATTCTTTAAAGAAACCAAATACTTCAGACCATAGTGATGTATATAATTAACCAGTTGGTTTCTTTAGTGCATTTTGACATCAACTTTCATTCTCCATTTTAGATGGAGTCTTCACCTTTCATACTGGGACCACACACTTACTGTTTATGCTTATAGTCAAAGAACCAGAAGGCAACACACACTTAATTCAGCAGCTAAGACAAACCTTCTTTCCATGTTATTCCTGGAAGTTTACTCCACAGGCATTTACAGTGTGATTCCTATTATCTTTGCACACCTTGCAAAGATAATGAGGGTGAATTTGGGTTTCAAAAGTACAATAGCCACCTCTTAGCCCTGCTGAGAAATTAAACTCTTCATGTTGATTGATCATTTAACATAAATATAGAGCAAAGTTTTCAGCCCATGTTTAGTGTCTGGAATACCAAACTGTAATAGATTCACTTGGCATTATCCATAGACAAAAGTTAAGTGAGGTGTCATCTGTGTAGTTATCCCAGGACTAAAATGTCTATCTTACCAGAAAAGAAGAAAAAGCCAACTTGAATCATGTGTTTTTAACCACTGGGGCTTAAAGAAACTTTAAAGAAAGTACTTGGGTTTCTAAATTAAAAACCAGCTTCCCTTGTGATGCATGAGGATGAGGGATAGGCTCAAGATGAGAAGGGCAGCCAAAGGGCTGGGAGAGAGGAACAGGGAGCTGTGTGATTACCACTGGCCAATCCTGAGTGCTTTAAACTGCAAAATTATGTATCACCTGAGAATCACTTAAGTAAACAATCAAAAAAACCCAATCCTAGCAACAAGCTCAAGCAAATGTCTTTGTATTCCTAAGACAATGACATTATATTGAAATAAGGGCTGGATAGGGACCTAACAAAATGAAGTACTGTCCAGTGATCCCAATGTAAAAAAAATTCTCATAGTAGCGGGCCAGCAGATAATTTGTCCTTAAGACCCTGGAATTCTGACTGACCACTATGACAAATTTAAGTTACATGTGAAAAGGCAGGTCATGCTTCTCAGTCTTTATTTCATTTTACATATAAGGCCCAGCTGTTGTATCAAGGGGCAATATCCATTTCTTCTCCTGGTCCCAACACTTGTATCCTTTCCTTTGGTCTGACACTGGCATTCTTTTGACCTTCTGGGAAAACCAATCTGTGGAGCAAAAAGTTAACTGAAGGATTAAATGAATGCTGGTGCTAGTGCAGAGAACTGTCTTTGGTGGCAACTGGCGTTCAATCAGCTGAACTGAAATAGAAAGATGCATTGTCACTTCACTTGTAAATACTACCTGAAGTCAAGGAAACAACAGTGACAAATTTCCTTCTCTGTCTCTTTATCACATGAGCACTCTCGACCACATAGCAAGAGAAATTTATATAGCTAGCCACAAATAGCAGAAGCAAGTTGGAAAAGTCAAGAGGGTTTTTTCCTCCAACAAGGCTGCCTGCTTTTCCTGTAGAGCAATGCATCAGATCAATGCCCATGGTTTATATAGGAAGACTTCAATTTCACAGGAAGGAAAGCTGCCTTTACTGATTACAATCACTGCAACAAAGTAGAGACTGAAACTATAAAGACACAGACTGTGAAATTTTTAAGTCTCATCGTGTACAAAAACCTCTAGAAATTGCACACACAGAAAAAAATTAGTGGATTTTGAAGCAGAAGCAAATTATTACATGCAAAGCAGAAGTATATATTACATTCATACTAGAAATACTTAAGCAGAATTTCATAAATGTTTTAATAAACTAACCAACCTTTTTGAGAGCTCCTGACTCTTTCCACGCCATCCTATCTTCAGCACTGCATTTAACAGAAAGTGCTGCCAAGGCTTGAGTATACAATAAAGTGAACAGCACTTTTATAATGCAGGTGAAGTGTTCTGTAAAACAAAGAAAGTAATTTTTAAACATGTGATGGTTTTAGCAAATATAGTGATTACAGAGTCTGTAGTTATGGAAATAATAATTCTGAAATGAAAAGCAAAGTGCCATACGAAGAACAGCCCCTCAAAAGATACAAAACAACATATATTTACTGGCTTTCAGAAATGACTTGGCAGCCATAATGAACAGAACGAGTACAGGGCAAGTAATTTTCCACTGCTCCTTATTTTCATCTTAATCCTGGTTAGCAGTGACTTCATCCTAATGGCCTGGTGATAATACAAGATTATATTTTGCCAAAAGGTTACATAAGTTAAACTACTGATTACTGTAGATGTAAGCAAATGCATATCCTACCATCTCTTCTGGCTCCCATCAGGGGTGACACTCATACAGATATTGGAAGAATTAAATTTAAAAAAAAATCACCACAAGAACATCTAGCATATCAGTTTCTAACCCTTCACTTCCACAGATATGGATCCTGCCATAAAACACTTGCTGCAAAACACTCTTGATTAAGTACCTATTTACTGCAGCTCACATGCATACAGAAGGAAAGTGGAAGGCAGACTGGCATTTACTGTAGCTTCAAAGATCTTTATGACTTTTTTTTTAGTAATTAAAGGGCTATTATTTCCTACAGCTAGGCTGCAGGAGAAAGGTTTTGAAATTGTTTTGGGGATGCTAGCAACAGAAGCAAAATAAGACTTCCTGAAATGGAAACAGAAAAAAAAGATAATTCACTGAAATGAAGATACTGAAACCATCCTTTTTTATCTTTTTACTTTAGGCTCTATTTCCAGTCCCAAATTATCTAGTTTGTTTTTAAATCTAGGCAGATCAAAGAAGTTTCTGTCATCACTTACACCACTCCTTAAGCATAAACATAGCTAATATATATCTAAAAAAATGTAGACAAAAATGAGGGGTTTAAGAAGTCCTCTCAGGCTTTGAAGTCAAGCAAAACAATTTACATAAGCACCTCACAAAAACTGGGTTAAATTCATTTTCTTCCCAAAGGATTTAAAGGAGTTTCATACGTGAAAATGAGGAGGTCAGGAAAATGAAACACCTTGCTTCTGCTTTCCTGCATCTAATATCAAAACCCACTACTAGATTATAAAATATACACAGCTAAGACTTGAGTACATAATTCAATTTGTGAAATAACAATTGTCTATGTAACAAGTATTTACAAATCAATGCAGACATGGATTTTGAAACTTTTTAATGTCTTGGAGTATAATCTTACATATCAACTATAAGCACAATTTAAACATCTAAAAAATAATTTCTTATTATGCAATTTAAAATTAACTTTTTTGTATTATCTTCCTAGCTTGTGTTAAACATGACAATGAATGGTCCTATACTTCATCTGCCTCTTCCAGAGCAGGCAGCATTATAATGATACTTCCTCTTCACATCTCCCCAAGAGGAGGATTTACCAGATCCCACTAGCTCTTGAGGCCATATTTTTTATCTCTGCTGAAACCTCCATTTTCTTAGCAATTCTACCCCTGAGGAATAACAGCAGGCAAGCTTGCAGGAAATTTTTTGGGACTGAAATCTATGAGATGAAACCACACACATTCAGAGAACTGTAAAAATTGCCTCTTTGGCCTGAGTTAAGAGTTTGTAATCATAGCTAGAACTGAACTCAGGTACTGAGCTCCAACCCCTCAACAGCAGATACAAGCAATACTAATCAATTTCACACTGAAAGCATGAACGAAAGGCCCTGCATGCAGAGCAGCAAAGGCAACAGGCACCAGCCTGCCACAGCCTGCTCCATCTTGTAGCTCTGCTCAGGAGATTGCAGTGCTAAACACTGGGTGTCTGTGCACATTTAAAAAAGTCTGATTTTTGATAAATAGAATTGCTCTTTGTCCTTAATACTAATTGTTCAATTCACCAGAAATATGTCTACCTAACATAATATGTTTCAATTAAATGAATTCTCTTGTATTTACTTACATGTATGTGACTCATAAATTACTATGAATTACATTTTTGGAGAATCCACAGTTGGACAAAACCTGCACACTCCCACATCTGGGTCACCCTTAAGAAGTACTGAATTTTGCAAAAACTTTTTTTTTTTTTTTTTTTTCTCCTTTAGGAAAATATCTCAGGAGCAGCTCAGAGGCCCCATGTTGTGTAATGAGCACCAAGGTTTTTTATAGTCATAGAAGCATTCCATGGGAAACATACTAAAACATGAGTCACTGCATCAATTACTACTTCATTACTATGTTATCTCTTTAAATGCCATATATTTGACAGCTGTAGGTACCTGTAATGCTCGAGCTGTTGCATTCTTGTCTACTGCAAGGAGCAACTTTATTTGACTTCCTGCAGTGTGCTTGTGGGGGTTGTGTGCTGTTTTCCTGCTGCTCCCTGAGGCAGGCTGTGCTTTTGCTACATCATCTTTTCAATTTAATAATTCTAAAGCTTGCAAGCATGTGAAGCAAACCACTGAGCAAAGTTCTGCATTGAAATGCATTTAGGACTCCTGCCCCTAATCTGACAGTCTGACAGTCTGAAAGTATTATTACTATGGCTAGGCCAATCTAATCAAAACAGCCTAATCCAGAACTTTTGTACTTATTTTTTAATAATACTAAGCAATGCTCTTACGTTCGTATTTTAAAAACTTTTTGGAACCAAATAATTTCAATGCATCTCATCCCATTGTAAGCATTAACCAACACCCTTAAAAACTAAGTTTAAATAGGAAACACTTCCAGAACTCTAATTTTGACATTAGTGCAATCAATGTGCAGATAAATAAGCATATTACCAATAATATAAATTTTTTAATTTCAATATAAAATTAGATTATATACCCTATGACAGAAGGAATCCACAAAGAGAACCAGATGCAAAATTAAGGACATAGGGCCTTTTTTACTAAATTTAGAAGGAGATCTTTGTATAAATAACCTTTGAAAAATATTCTTCTTGATCAAAAGCTTGAAGCCTTCTTTGAAAACACAACTTCAGAACAAACGGAGACAGCACTGAACTTCAGATAATCCATGAAAGGTATATTGAAGTTCCACGATACAGATAAATATTTGAGCTTCCACATTGAAACTGGATCGTATTCAAGCTGATGACATCCATACTATATTTAGTCAAGATCCTTATCCAATAAGTTTTAAAAAGTGTTAGTGTTTGCCTGAAAGTTGCTTGCTGCACTTTTGCTGCATGTCATTCAAACTTTATAAAAAAAGCATCTGTCAGAACATCCAGGTCAGCCTCTCCAGCAGCTGAGCCTCACCAGCATTACAGGAAAAGGTGTTGAATTTAGGTTTTACACACCAGAGAAGAAAACCTTTCCCAGAGTCCACAGAGGCTGGTCTCGAGTCCCAGAAGGAACTCTGAGGTTGGAACACACCCAGCACTCCCAAAATGCAGCTGTCTCCCTGCAGCCCATGTCCCAGCAGCGCCAGGCTGTGCAATGGGGCTGTGGCAAGCGCTGCCGGCCCTGCCGGCATCGGGCACACGCGCAGCGCCGGGCACTGCTGGCTGCTAACTCCGCTCCTGTGCGCCCGCCGGCCCCAGGCTCCTCCTGCCCACACACACCCTGCGTTTTAGACACTCTCGATCAGTATGCTACTTTTTACGGCCAGTGCAACGCAGAAACTGAAACCACTAGAAGCTATCAGGTGGTGGGAAAATAAAACTTTTTGCAATTGATGGTAACAAGAAACGATATCCAATTTCAATTAAATGACTCCAGCATCCAAAAACTGTGTCGCAGAAAGGACTGGGAAGGGGGGAGGGGGGTATTGAATTCAATTTACAAATACAGGTTTCGGTTTTGATAACCACCAAGCCACTCTCTCCATTTCGGTACACACACCATCATTTGCTATTTCTGTAAGAAAGGAGCTGAAAGCAAAATCTTTGTTTTGTATGGAGTCCCAATTCACAACATCACGAACACTCCATCCTCTGTACAACAACTGCCACAGAATTGAACCAGAAAACTCCTATGTGGATTATTATGCATTTAGCCCTCTACAATTTCAAAAATTTCAAACAAAATGCTAAACATTTGAAGCCTTTAAAAGTTCTACCCATGTCCTAGTGTGAAACTCAAAAGAAAAACAAAGTTTCACAAATGGTTTTAATATCCTAAACACAGTGTTTATTTTGCTTGTTACACTACACAGAGGTACACATTATCAGTCTCATTCCCTTCTCTGTAAATTGGTGAATGCTTGTAAATGCTCTGACCTCCACCACAAAGTTTTTTCTATAGCAGTCTTCTTTCTTTCTGATAGGTTCAGATCAATAATCTCTTTTGAATGAAGAGGCTGAACAGTAATGACATTTTTATTGCTTTAATCTATGTCAGATTGAAAAAGATACCAACACCCATCCAACAGTTAATAGGGAAGTTAATGCAGTTCCCAGTCTGAATTTAAAATTAACAGTTAATAGGGAAGTTAATACAATTGCCATCTGAAGGGCAAGAGATGAGATTTTGAGTCCGCCTTAAAGAGCATTCTCTATTTTTAAAAAAACACATGGTGTAAACAAAAAGGATTTTAAGTACAAATTTGGAGAAAAGATGTCGTATTTGATGAAGGACACAATGCAACTTAAGTCTATTGTTAAAGGAATATACTGGAAATATCTGTCAGCACACACAGGCATCAGCCTCCTGTGTGTATCCCAGTGCACCACAAGACCACAGCTCCTGCACCCCATGACAAGGGCAAAGCAGTACAGACAAATCAGGAAGCAGTAAGGTCAAACAGAGATTTTGTTCACCCCTACTGCTGACCTTGTGCTTACCATGAGGCATTTCACAAGCCACTTCACCTTAGTTATACCTCAGCCCTCTACAAAGAATTAATAATATTGAATTTGACTCTGTGACCTACACACCCATAGTGTAAAAGTACTAAACAAATTTGTTATGACTTATTTTTGTGAACACCACTCTACACCTCCAAACAAAGAATTATGAAAGACTTTCTTTTCATTCTGCCTAACCATTTTGATGAAACAAAAATTAGGAAGATAAATGGCAATTTATTTCCAATTTAATGCTTCACAGATTTGAAATAGATACATTTATTTTCTATCTGCCACTTGCCATTTCCCTCTCAACTGCAACCTACAATAAACCCAAGAGCAAAGACAACACATGCTGCTGATATGAGGCATTTCACAGAATTCTCCACAGAATGCCTTACTATTAATTGAATGCTGTCTTTTCTAGGATAAAATATACTTTCTTAAATGGTGGTATTCAATGCTTGGGTATTGACTACACAGACAACACTTCCTTCCCTGAATTTCAGATGTTAGTCTCATTAAACTTTTATTTGCTGTTTTTTTACTAGTTTGATTGAGTCCTTCCAATAGAGTGAATTTAAGTTAAACTGTAGTTAAAAAAAAAAGAGTACATTTTTGACAATAGTCTTCCTATGCAAAATATTTTATTCTTTTAGTATTTTCATATTCTAATAATCTTTTGGATATACTTAATCCTAAGCATGTACTTAACAATTGCATTTGATGATACTAAAGGTCTTTTCCTACCTAAATGATTCTATCATTTTAAGTGTATTGAATTGAAAAAGCAAACCCACAATGTTAACAGGTACACATAGAGTCACTTTAGCTGAATTTAAACATTCAATACTGAGGACTGAATACCTCTTATGGGGAAACAGTTTCTACTAAGGTGTATGCATCAAGAGCAGAACAGTTCCTGAATTTACCTATTCAAAAACTACCAAAACTCAGCAGATATCAAAACTGCCACACAGATCCCATGGGAGATATTCTGTTCAATGTCAATGAAACAGTAAAGTGATATTTCCTTTGTTTGTCCTCATTTTCAAATAAAGGTACAAGCCAGAGACCAGACGGTCTGAACCCCTATTCTGGAACATACATTACCTATTAGCAAGAGGAACCAGGTTTAGCTGTTCCTTTTACACAGAAAAAGAAATTTAGGTATTAAGACAGTTCTGATTTTAGTAATGAAAAATTTGAATTTTTAATATATATTTAACATTTATTCATAATTATACTGTATGCTGTCTCTATTGAAATCGCTGCATTACAGAAATTATTATCTTCATATATGAACTCTTACATAAGACTGCTGCATTTTAAACTCTGAAATTCAAATTGAATTACAATCTTTCAAATTTTTTATCCTTAGGCATTCAGTTCAACTTGGAAGTATTGAGCTGTCCCTCTAAGCAAAATATGAAGGTCAAACAAAGGACACTTTTCTTTCAGTAGAAATACTTAATGGTTTCTGCTCAGCTCTTATATCTTTAATGAATAGTTGACTGATAAGGTAAAAAGACAGGGAACACAGATAAACCTGTCAACTCAGAACAAAAACTTCTGTTCAATGCCACCTTTTGTAGATAAGGCAGAAACATTATTTTAGAATACACAGTAGATCAGCTATGATTTACCATCCTGCAAACCATCATGAAAGCAGCCTCATCTACATAATAATTTAAATATACATATTTTTGTAACATACCTCTGTGCAATGGTTGAGGCATGGTTAAAATCTGGATAAGCAAAAGGGATGAGACATCTCTGTAAAGCACAGGAACTTCTGGCAGTTCTTCACTTACCAGCCTGGAAATAAAACCAAAAGAAAATGACTCCTGATACTATAAACCCATTTTCATATTTTATTTTGTATTTATTTTAAATAGTACTACATTCGCTATCAAGCTTACAGAAGCCTAATATCTGACAATTTGCTAACTGATCTCAATTTTAGAATGGATCTCAATTCAAAAATTTAATGTTACTCATGTAACAACTCATGAGGAAATTACCATTTGGGTACCTGATTGCGTTGAAATGTTTTAAAACATTCAAAACTGCCTGAACTCATGATGTCTATGTAGAGAGTCAAGGAATATTCAAACAGTTGAACTGGTTTCCAAAGCATGGCATTTCACATGTATACATGTAACCAGGCTATAACAACAAGGAATCCTCAAAATACATTTAAAGTTACAGGGAATGCTGCTATTGTAAAACAGAGACCTTAGAAAAGCTATTGCTTTCCTTCATGTAAAGAAATGAAGGCTCAAGCAGCCATGACAGGTGGGATTATGCAATCTTACACACAGTCTTTATTAAACTCCCTGGATGTCTAGAAGGAAGCAAAAAAGCGCAGAGATAGTACAAACTTTTAAACTATCCGGATTTACTGATGTAACATCATCTTGTTTTCCTACACTAAAAAGCAAAAAATGCTTGCAAATAGGAGGTAGTTTCTAGCTTTGTGTAGCAATCTTCAACAAAATTCCAACCACCAGTATTCTTCAGGTTCAACAGCTTAGTAAAATGGCAAAAAAAAAAATCAAATGGTGAAAAATCATTCTTCCCAATTTTAACTGAAATGGGGCGTGATGGAGATCTCAAGCAGGAGCAGCTTAGAATAAAATGTGATACACACCCTCCCCATGAGCCCTCACCTTCTGCAGCACACACAGGTGCAAGAGCTGGGTGGGTTCTTACTACCCTTGGCAAGCAGTGGTGCTGGGGATCCGTGCTGCAGGAGCCACATTGTGAACTCCTTCCTGGTCCCACTGACCCTGAACCTCCCCTGCAAAGCTGTCCTCTACCAATGGCCACCAGTGCTGCAAAGGAACCAACTGAGCTCTTGCAGTCCATGGACTGCACAAGGCTGCCCACATGTGGTGGTATGTGGATGCATGCATGGGATTTTAGTGTCCTCTAACACCTTTGGGGATTCAACCAGTTCATCATCTCCGAGGCCCATAAACATGATCCTGCTTTTGAAAAAAGACTATATAATTAATGATTTCCTGAAAACTCAGGCATCTCTCTACAGAAGGCACTTCCAGGAGTCATCTGTGATATGAATTTTAACACATGGAAGCAGTCATACAAGAGGAGGATTAAAAGAACACTTATGGTCACATGGCTGACTGATCTTGTAAAATGAAGGGAGGGAAAACATGGTCTGACTGGTCCTTTTGAATTAATGAACCCAGACAGCTACAGAATAAACAGCATCTATAACCCTTTTGCTATAATCAATCATTTAATAAAATTAATGTTTCAAAGCACTGTAATATACATACATATATATATATACACATGTGTGCGTGTGTCTCCTAAATAAACACCAAATATTCTAAAAATCAGTACACAGAATTCTAAAGAAGACAAGGGGGGCAAAAATTTGTATCACACTGCCAAACTTCATTTTCAAAATTATACAGGCCATGAAGATATTCACCTCACTATGTCTCTCTAATTCTACTTTTATCTACAGCTAGTTCTACTTTATGATCTACAACACTGAATTTTAAAACAACCCGCATTGTGTAATGACTTTAAAACCATGGACATCCCTTAAATTACTTCTCGTCTTTAATTCTTAATGTATACATACTTGGGAAATTTATATAGACTTTATATATACTTGGGAAAAATTTAATTTGGAATAACATTAAAAAAATCTGACTCCCTCTGATCACATTTAGCTCAAAACTTCTTTGTGACAGAGGTATCAATATTGTTTAATAGTCATGTAACAATTAGGTCAAATACCAGTTCTGTCAAAATTATTTTATTTTTTATATATATTCATACACAGAATACCATCATTGATTGGCATCAACATCACACATAAATGACCTCATTTGCACATGCAGGACCAACTGAATTACTTTCTTAATTTATTCAGTTCATAAGAATTGAGAAGCACAGCTACATTAAATGTCAGGGGTTTAGATAAGCTGCTTTTGCTTACATCAAGTACTGCAGCACATGAAGCACTTAAAAACTGCTCTGTCATTTGTTAAGAGCCTCAGAAAATTCTTCATTATGAAAATGGAACTGAAATTACAAAATGTATTTAGAAATGTGTTTTATGGCAATTGTCCATTCTGTTAATCCCTAACGCATATATGCAAGCTTGATAAATCTGACTACAAAAACTTTTGCCACAGAAGCACTTAATGAAAAGAAAGCAAGTACAACAGCAAATAGGACCAAAGTAATATAAAATTATTAAAATGTGTAACAGTTGTATACTGAATCCAGTTTTCAGAGGGAGTTGGTGGTGAAAATAAGCTATACAGTGCAAAATGAACATGTCCTAAAATGAAAAATGCAAACCTCAGCTTTCCCTATGGAAATGACCTCTCCTCCAGCCCAAGGTAATTGGGCTGCACCTCTCTGTGCCAAAAGCAGGGCTGCCTATCACCTGACAGCTGAGAAATTCTGCCTCTGTATTCTGCAACCTCCTCCTAAGAGTTGTTATGCAGGAGTCATTTCTTTGGGAATGCATACAGAGAAATGGGAAATTCTGTTGTATTCTGAAATAAGCATCATTTTGCTTCTGGTGGTTCCTTATATTTATGCTCCCCATTCCCTCTTCTCTCAACCAGAGACACATAAAAGTTTTTGGTTGATGCTAACTCCAACTAATAATAAAGGTAGAAATTCAGTAAGTAAAGGAAAGGTTCTGAGCCTCACATCTCTTTGAACTGTCAGACACAGAAAATTTGAGATACAGGGATATAGGTACACCTAAACTAAGGCTTCAACTAGGGCAAACTTATATTTTTTCAGGATAAGAAGCAAAGCACACAAATCCCATATGGCAGAGAGGTCAAACTAATACAGAGCTTCTCATATTCACTGCAAGAGTGCAGAATTCTACTATTCATTCTGGCTGCACCTTAGGATATAATCACAATTTCATATTTGCTCTTCATTGTGTCACAGCAGATTTTACAGCAGGTCAGTTTCTCATTATACATTCACTGACAGTACTAGCACCGGGCATGTCCTGTTCTCTTTTACCACGGTGCCCCCAGCAGTCCCTTGTCACCCGTTCCCAAACTCATTCAATTTCAGCTTTTTAAAACATGGATTTGTAGCTTGGCTTTGCTCATGCAGCCTGCCCAAGTTACATTAGCACAGCCAAAGAAGATGGTGAGCTATACTGCAGGGGAAGGAAGAAACAGCCAAGAGCAAACACTCCAAAGCTGGCACTACTGTGAAAACCTATGTACTGTAACATGTCCTGAGAGACAGCTGTTTCAGGCAGCATTTCTGTTGTATGGAATAGAGCACAGAAGTCCTGTTGTATAGCACGTGTATGTATAGACCACCTCTCGCATAAACCTTAACTAAACCCCACTGTCCCACCATCCTACTCTCTCTGTCTCAGAGTATCTTCATAAAAACTGTGGGTTTTTTCCCCATTTCACAACAGCTTCTGTGATGGAGATGTGACTTAAGAAGTTCCTATGCACAGCTGCTCAGTCCTATCCCTGAGCTGCAGTTTGTTGCCCCAGTATGACACCATAAACAGTCTCCGAAGTGATCTAGCTTAGAATGAAACATCAGCGAAACAATAACCCAGAAAAAATAACCCAGCATTTCAGTTTATCATGCAGTTCCTCCCTCCAAGTGCTTCTACTGCTAAGATCCTTAATGTTTTCTCAATCCATTCTTTGCTGATATATTCTGTCTGTCAAAATAGATACAAAAATTTCAGCCTTCATAGAGATTTAAATTTTAAAAAGCATGTATATCCTTTCATTTCATGTTTGTTGTTCCTGAAACTGTGACTATTTGGGCTAGTCCATTAAATTCACATCTGGGTTTAGTAATTATTGCCTCCAGCTGCTGCTTGCCTGCCCCCTGCCAGAAGCTATTATTTCCCCTTTGCACCACAATAATTGTTTATTTGATCACTATTGAAACCAGATCTGCCCCAGAAGAACAATTTGCTTAAGTACAGCCCGTGGGACCAAGCGTACATTGAATTTTGCAACATAAACTGCACAGGAGAAATAATCTACTAAACCATTCACAGTTCACCAGACTTAGCTTCCTCTTTTTCCCCCTCATCTTCCACACAGCTCACATTATTTAGGCCCTTTTTCATAGGCTATCTTCTTGCTCAAGATTTCCTTATTTCTGCTTAACCTTGCTGTGGCCGCTTGAGCTTCTCCCTGTCTTTCCTTTCAGTTGCCATTTTTAGCTACAAGGAGATCTAAATGCAATTGTTGAAGACACTGGACAAAACCGGTGGTTTTGGGAAGTACAGTGAATTCTGTGCAATTCTGTGAGACTCTTTACAAGTTACTTTGATCAGTTCTCCCAGACACAGGAAATCTAAGACATTATTTATGAAGAATGACAGCTGAGTTGTAGAAAACTAGGATAAAAATTGTGGGTTTCAAATCTGGGTAGTTCTATTTGTAAATATTTATGTATATTTAAAGAAAATAGCTACAATTAAATGAAAATGAGAATACAATGTATTGGGGACTTGCACTCCACAGATTTTTGCGTATGTGGGGTTTTTTTTCTTTCCATTTTGAAAATTATCTTTTTAAATAAATGAAGATTAAACTAGCTTCTTTAGAAAACTGCTTTTAACTCAAATAATAATTGAAAGTGAAAATTAAATAGAAAAAGATGGCATCTTGGTTTGAAGTTATTTTGCTTCTGTGACTTCCCTAAAGTTAAATTGTTTGGCATCACAGCATTACAGTCAGAAAATACAGAACTTTTTCCCTTACTGACATTTTTTTTTCTACAAGTCTTTTCTTGAAGTCTCATGTGCAGGTCAGTCAGATGATTTAGATGACTTGGTTAACTTCAAAGCAGCAGAATGCCATTCACATCTAAAATCTGCAATGATTATTTCTCCACCATCCTCTTAAGCTTTTTGAGTTTTCAGCGGTGTGTCACCTTCTAATTGCTCTGAGCACTCTTTTCTGTACCTGAAAAAAATCTGCTATTCTGTGTCTCTCAAAAAGGCTGTGTGACTCTAAGAAGTGTGCAATCAGATCATATACACCAATCCTATGAATGCCATCTTAAGTCAAACTACCACTTCAAATTTCTGCAGTATAATTACAGATACTCATTTTATGCTCCAATTTATACATGAAAAACATATCCTCAAATTGCCTCTTTTGTAGTGTTCTGGTGCCTGTGAACTAAGGAAGGAAAAACAAGGAGGGAGCAAAAATATTCAAGCTCAAAAGCATCTGTGCATCTCGCCAGTAAATTATTTCATGGCAAAATGGAAGCTATTTCAGTTGTAGCTTCCTACAAACCATTTAGGACTTTGTGCCAAACCAGTACCATCAAGTCCACCACGAAATATTGAAAACCAGTGCAGAAAACACAAGAACTCCTCAAATGCATTCACAGCATGCAAACCCTTCTGCAAAGCAAGGCATTACAGACCTACAGTACCATTAATTTCTAAGTGATTCAAAATATTGCCTAATGAAATCTAACATACTGCACTTTAGCCTTGTCATGACCAATGCACGGTGAACTCCATCAGCTCTGTAGGCCCCCTCTATTAACAGCTGCTTCCAAAGCCAGCAAGCTCTTCAGATGCCAAAATGAGAAGTGCACGATCTGTCCCACAGCCATTCTGGCCACATGACCTTAATTGTGCCGCATATAAATCAGCCAACCATACAACTCATTTATTAACATCATCCCACTGCTCAGTCTAGGTCAGGGCTCAATCAGAATCACATGAAAACAGACCCTCAAAGCAGTTTGAATGCATGCTGAACAGGTTTTCAGGTTATAAAATGCTTGATGCTTTATTCTGCTAATAGTTTATAAATCAATCTCTTAATACAACTTAATTACTCCAATAACCTAATGCTTATGGCAAAAATAAGCCTGGGTACAAGAGAAAAATAAAATCTTAAACTAGAAATGAGAACAATTGTTTTAATAGTCTTCCCCAGTTTGCAGTTAGGATTGTGGCATTACAACTCTAGATCAGTTTTTGAAATTGCATGATGCTTTCTACCTCAGGCTCCTAGAAGCACTGACAAACACACAGCTGGAGAGGCACTAAAAGGACAGTCTTTTGACGTAATTGCAAGCTACAAAATGTAGAGCTTAGTATGAAGAAGATGCTTAAGGTGCTAAGAGAAAAAAAAAGTACTGTTTTCCTCTTATGAGGAAAAATCATAATCTGGTTTTAGGCAAGAAACCTTTCTCCTTGTCATCAAGGTAGAATCTGAAAAGTGACAGGTCTTAAGTCAAGTAAGGAGATGAGTCCTTGCAGAACAAAGTACATGGTTTAATTTATTCTATTGTTAATCCTTTTACAGCTGTGTATGTAAGGTTCATGTTTTAAAAGCAAACTTAGGTAAGCAACTTGCTTAAAACAATAAGCTTGCTGAAAATGTTTTGCCTAAAATATAGTTATTTCTCACATATATTAGACCTATTTACAGCTATTAATCATTACTCAACTTCCAATAAGCTACCAGCTTATCTCAATGTAAATTTTGTTGAGCATCCATATCAAGAACAGCAGTGCCCTATCCACTTTACCCAATACTATTTAATTTGCATGTGCTTAAGCCTGCAAGAGGTGCATTTAAACTTTAGCTCAAAACTGGTATTTGTCAGATTTTTATGTAAAAGAAATCGGAAAACATATTTTTACAAATTCATACATACGATTTTTAGATGTTAAGTCCACCAGAATACCTCACAGAGAACTTAAATTGAGACAAAGTTACCCGAAGTCCCTCTGTAAGGATGTTTCTTTCAGCAGGTAAAACTGATATTGGGTAAATTAAAATACTTGCTCTGAGTTTTTATCCTGCGAGGGCTGGGTTAGTTTCCTCCAGGGATTGTATGCAGAGTCTATACTGTAGAGGCGCATGTGCATGGCCAACACGTGAAACAGCTGATCTGAAAGGGGAAGAAGACAGATTGCTGAGTATTACATACAGTGATATGAACTGTTTTACATTAAATTGCCATCATGTATTTTACAAGATTCTGAGAACCCTATCATGCCATTCCAAATAAGCTGGTACCCTAACATGCATATTTTTATTAAGGATTGCTTTATTTTAAAAAAAAAGGATTTGAAGAGAAGTAAGATTTCAATGGAAGGCAGTGAACACATGCATATATACAGAAAATTGCTTCTGAGAAAGGTTGTTTAGAAACCTTTGACCAGAACTCAGTTATTTTGGTGCTCCATGTGCTTAATTAGAGGCCTTTCTAAAAAGCCCTGTTTCATATGCTGTTATGTTGCCAAGGTTCCATGCTCACTGCACTTGCCTCTCCGGTTTACGCTAGAAGAGGTGATTTCTTAAACAATTTTTCTTAACAGAGACTGATATACTTTTAATTGAGATACTGTCATTCCTCTCTCTTACTGTTAACTTCTGTGCATCATATATTTGAAATTTAATCTAAAATTGCTACAAGTCCTGGCCTATGTGCAAGCAGCGGTAGATCACCTATGTGAGGATCACTTTGGTTCTTCATCTTTAAAAGGTTTATTCCTCCTGCCTTCATATGGTTATTTTGTGGGTAACTTTTGGACAAAAATATCCCCAAACCCACAAAACATCAATGACACTAAAGTAGCAACAGTCTTTGTAATGTCAGAGATTTGTCTATACAACCTGCAGGCAGAGTTTGCTGATATTCATAATTTCAAAACCTTCTGTACTTCCACTGTATCAAAAACATAATTTGCAAAACACTTGTAGAATTTTTCGAACAGAGGACGCATAATTACTCATGGTGACTTACTGCAGTATTTTATATTAAAATGCACATTTTATATTTATCTATGAATCACATCATCACACAAAGACAACATCTAACCCTTCCTTCCATTAAGCCATCCAAGAAGGCAAGCACCATTTAGGTCAAGAGCATTTCAGAAAGGTACACGCAACAAAAAGCACAGAATGATTTTCCAAGCACCCTGCAATGAGCAGGGACATCTTCAACTAGATGATGAACTATTCGGGATTCAGACTTCACTTTTTCAATGTATCTTTTTTTATCTTCATAGGTGTATACTGAAAGAATTAAAGTATCATTTCTCACAATTTTGCTTACTTATTTCTTCCTGTCACACTTTATCTTGCTATTTGGTGTCATGCTTTTCTCCTGTTCAATTCTCTAGGATCCTGCTTTCTTTCTCACTTTCATTTTAACTTTTCCCCTTAGTATCCTGACATCATCTTTCTTCTCCACCTCTCATTCTTTCAACTGATGCCTTTGCATCTTTTCCTGTAAATCTCTCTACCTCTTTTTACAACCCACTTGCTCAACCTACACACTCACAGGTCCTCTTTTTCAAGTAGAAATAGCAGCTATTAATTTATTTTCCATAAATAGATAATTACTCAGAGGTACGCAATGGCCAAAAGAGTCGCATGATGAAATCAGCTGACTGCCAGAGCCTGAGGGCTGTAATTAGCTCCTGGGGTTTGTAAAATAATTGGAGCTGTAGATGGCATTGGAATTGATAGCTGCCACCTGCTTTCTGAATAAAAACAGTCAATGAGGACAAAATAACTTATCTTTTCTCCTGGCAAGAGATTCTTAGCAGAACACTGCTTTGCTGATAAAGTTGAAAATATAAAGTCTGAAAATATACTTATATTCCATCAAAATAATAAAAAAGCCCTCAAGCATGGTTTTATTTGGAATGAAACCCATGAAAACATCCCAGCCTTCCCTCCTGCCTGTTCACTAAAATGAAGGCTTTTTTCCCCCCTCAACTTTTCCTTTCTTTAAACAGAAACGGGCAACTGCGCAAAATGAAAAAAATTTTTTTGAAAATTGTTCAGGGTAATTAATTCATCCCCTGTTCCTTTACCAGCTACTCTCCAGAGCTTTTACTAATATGAAATTAAGCAGGCAAGCATCAAATTCTAGCCCTGGAGAATTTCTCTGTAATCTCCAAATGTGTAACATTTATGGAATGGAGACACATTCCAGGAGTGGGATCTACCCAGGAAAATGCCGGCCAGCAGCCGCGGCGCACAGCACGTCGGGGCTGCGATGAAGGCCGCGCGGCTCCTCCGCCGGGCAGCGCCCCTCCCGGCCCCGCCACGGCACACACCGAGCTCTATTTCTGCTTTACACCACAGTCACTCCAATTGCTTTACTCACCTCTTACTGTGACTACGAGCTACTGGAGAAAGCCAAGGAAAACACCAGAGCACTGGGAAGCAAGAACTGGCAATTTAAACGCGCATCAAGTGTTTGGTGCTGCAGCACGTCCTTATGCCTGAGGGACTGGCAGAAACCTGCCTTGAGCCAAAGGAATACCCGAGGGCTTTTCCTGTGTATTTCTAGAATGCATTAATTCCAAACCATAAGCACAGAAATACAGAATGTCCTCCCATTTTCTTATACCCTACCTGAAACCTTTAAAATACATGTAAGGAGAGTTTTTTTAACAAGTAGCAGGAAAACATTACCATGACAATGGCCCATAAACATCAGTCGTGGCCAGGCGTGGGAAGAAGGCCATAACCTCACCGGGTATCCCAAAGCCCTCTGGTCCTCACAGTCCATCTTCCAGGATTCTCTCCAGGAGAGCCCACCCTTGTAAGGGGGAAAGGCAGGACCTGGCTGCAGCTCGGAGTCACCAAAAGATCATTCTTAACCAATTTTTGTTGGAAGAATATTAATTTCAGAAAGCACAGCAGCAACAATTTTTTTTAAAATTTGAATATGATACTCCTCTTCTAATAACCTGGTAATATCTGAGGCAGGCTGCATCCAGTTAATTTGAATAAATTTAACAGTCACACAATTTGGATGCACAATATAACTCATTGCTGCAAGTCATCAAGGGCTTGGGAGAGCTCTAAAATTTAGACATTTGAGTGGACAAGATTACTATTGTTTTAAAACATGATCATAGACTTGAGTATTGCCTACATTGATGCACTGCTGTCAAACTCTCAGCTTACGTCTTTGTTTTCGCAGAATACATATAAAGCTTAAACAACGCTTCACAGAATCATCTGGATTAGCAGTTAGAACTAGCTTTCAGTCCTATTAGCATTCCTTAATCCATTTCTAAAAATAATGACAATAACTATTGTTATTTTGTTATTGTCACTGCTGTTCTTGGTAGATTTACTTTTTGGAGTTAATCTATTGTGAGAGAGGAGCAATAAACTCAATTGAAATCTGTAGTTTCAAAAGAGCAGCTCAATGGACAAGACCACTGTCTTTGCACTGAGACTGAAGCTATAAGAGGAAGCACTGTAATATTGCTCCTCTCACAAACCCCAAAGATAATGGGTATTTTGTCTATATTTCCACACTGCACTAACACCTGCAGCTGAATTCTTTACTGTTTTTAATAATAAAGCACATTTGTTTTACAAATGTTGACAAAGCTCTTAAAAATATTCTGCTATGTTACAGTGCAAAAAGCAGGAGTCCAGAAAGGAAGTTTCACAGCCCTTTTCAGGTTTAGTGTGATATGCACAGCACAAAAGAAGACTAAATTCAAGACATAAAATGGCAGCAATTTGATAGATGAATGGTAGAAATTCTAAAAATGCTGTGCTCAACTGACAAAAATGAGTGATTCAGGAAACTGCATTCAGATTTTAAGTTTTGGTCTTGTAATCTTGGTTTGATCTTTGCCAAAGTGATCCCAAATTTCTACATAAGTTTTGCTCCCTTTTTTCCTACATGTTTTCTTCTGGTCTCTTGACTGGTAAAGTAAACTCTCAAATTACCAGAGTTCAAATCAGATGATGTTTTCTGTTATTAATTCCAATTCCGCAATGTAGAACAATGTGCTGCCATAATGAAAACAAACTAAGGAATTAGCTGCCTTTGTCTTGCTTGCAACAGTCTAGATAATGTGTTTATATCTCCTCTCTTTATTTCAAGACATATACTACTGTCGTGGAATTTTCTGTCTTGATCCACATTTCCCTTTTTACATTCCCTAAATTAGTATTCATATTTACAACGTGAAAACATCATGAAGTGACACAGCAGTTCACTGCAGGTGGAACTGAAAACATCCTTGTCTCAACTCTGAAGGTCTTACCAGACCAGGGATGCTTCCTCCTTCTTCTCCCAAAGTTTCTTGGGACTATCAAGAAGAATGCAGATTATAACTAAAACCACCAACAACCAGATGGGACTTGTCAATAAGGAGATTGAGAAATATTTTTCTCCTGGTAGAGATTTACATAGTCCACTTAGCAAAGACCTGCTGATAACATCTTCCCATTCATCCCCAATACAGTAGACTTGAATCAGTAAAAAGCCATGAAGGTCAGGAAAAGCCTATTAAGGCATTAAGACTGGATAGTCTTTACAAAATCTCACATCTTCACTAAGTCTTCATTGCTGATGAAGCAGCTAATTACCCTCTACACCAAACTTGCCAGTGTATGAAATCAACTTTAGCAACAGAATTTTAACAGTACCTATCCTTGCTTCTCCCACACTAGATATTAGTGGCATACCAAGTGTTTTAGAAAATACTTAAGATCATCTGCTGGTGACAAAAAGTGCTTTTTCCAAGTTAGCACGAACAGGCACCAAGGATCTGCAGACTGACACCTCCTAACTGAAAAAAACTCCAAACCAAGCAAACAAATCCAAAAACCCAAATCCTGCAACGCCAAAAAGCCCAATCAATCACAGAAACCCAATGCAGCAAGGCATTCCTGAAAACTTCTTTTATTCTTTTTATTTTCAGTGGCTGCAGAGAGCTGCATAGGACTCTTTGCAAGCATATCCACATCAACGATTATAGGAAAGAGACAGCTGCAACTCAAACTTGCAAATGATAAGAGAATGAGGTTTTTCTCTCAACAGGAAATACTAGGCTCCAAGTGTCACTGCCCATACTGATAAAATGGAGACAGCCATTACTTTCAACATGGTTGAAA